ACCAGGTCCCCATGAGAAAGGACACTGGTGCACCACCAAAAATTTGCATTGTCATTCTCTTTCCCATCAATCCCAAAAAGTACCTAGACTTTTTTCAGAGTAACTGTATACTGAGGAAGGTGCATTTTGGCGATTAGTAGACATTAGTTGTAAACTACTACTGATTCCTCATAATTTAAAGTATTGTGGCTCTCCAATAAGAGTAGGGGTCTATGAAGTTCAAATAATCAATGGAATTTTAGCAAAGATCCAACTCACTGTCCAGTATATCCTCCAAATCATCATGTAATTATTTCTCCTTTCCAGAATGTGCAGTTGGGGTAGATATATTTAGTACTTGGCAGAACACTCACAGTAGTTCCTTAAACTGCAATGTGAGGGTTTGCTTAATTGGAAATGCCAAATAGAAGCCATTAGAATTGGCTTTCTGTGACAAAAAGGTAAATATCAGTAGTGTTTTCCTCAGAGATTACAGTGATTATTGCCAAGATCAAGGCATGGAAGAATACAGAAATAGTTGATCCTATTACATTTTCATTTAATTCTTCAATTTGGATTATACAGACTGGATGGATCTCAGAGAATGATCTGTACATTACCACAAATTGAATCAGGCTGTGAGTCCAATTGCAGCTTCTGTACCAGATGTGATATCTTTGGTTGAGAAGATTAATCAACCCATCACCTAGTCTTGGTATGCACTATTGATTTGGCAAACACCTTCCTTCTTCATACATATCCATATTGCTCATCTGAAATAATTTGCTTTCAGAGGGGAAGACAAGCAATAAACCTTCACTTCCTACCTCAGCATTACAATAATTCTCCAGCCCTATGTCACAATTTAGTCTGTAGTGATCTTGATCACCTTTTTCTTCCACAAGGCATCATACTATATTATACTGATTGGAAAAATAACTAGGAGTTGGAAACTGCTCTGGATTTGTTAGTCATGGCGGACTGACAACTGGTTGTGAGCTTGTAACACCCAGCTGAACTGAATCAGCATAGTGCTGGGTGTGGAGGGCCCACCTGAGGATGGTTGCCAACAACATACAGAACTGGAGAGGAAGAAGTGGTGATGTTAGCTCTCTTGGAGGAGCTTGTCATGATGCCTTTCCTGGTATGAACATGGCTGTTCTCATCATCAGAGGAGCTTAGGACCCGGTTATCACTGAGAATGGCTATGGTTCACTTTGGGGAGGCTCTGCTCCCTACTTTAAGCATCACTTCCTGGCTCTGGAGGGGAAGATTGTGCACCGTTCAGTCTCCTGGAGAAGCTTGTTGCCCTGGCTTTCCTGAGATGAACTCACGTGTTCTCATCATCAGAGGAGCTCGGGACCTCATTGTTGTTGAGGATGGCTGTGGTACTTTTCACGGGAGCTCTGGTTCTTACCTAGAGTGTTGTGTCCTGGATCCAGTGCAGATCCCTCAGCCTATTGGCACAGATCCTTTGTCCTGCTGGTACAGAATTTTAGCTTCCACCACTGACCTTGGGGCCTTCCAAGTACAGATCCTTCAAGTAGACTGGCATGAGACATTGTTGTGGGCTCTAAGCCTCCAGTTGGACTCATGCAAGGCATTGTCCTGGGATCTAGATCTTCAGTTGGACTCATGCAGGACATTGCTATGGGATCTAGACCCACAGCTGGATTCTTTGGCTATTTAGTATGTGGACAGATTTCCTGCACTCCTTTGTACTTGACTCAGGGTGACTTGTATAAAATAATTTTATAAATTATGTGTCCTGTATTAAATTGTTTTCCTTGCAAATCCTGACTGCAACGATAGTAAACATTTGAGATCCAGAGAATGGGAAAGAAGTTATACTAAAATTAAAGGTCCTTTAACTCAGTGAAATTTCCAGGAGTTGAATCATGTGGGGCTGTACAAATAGCCTTTCTAAAGTAAAAGATGAGTTGTTGATATGGCTTCCCCCACAAACAAAAAAAGAGGCACAAGACCTAGTGAACCTCTTTGGATGTTGGAAGCAACATCTTCCTCACTTTTGTGATTTACTCTTGCTCATTTACTGACTCACAAAGCTACTAGGTTTGAGTGGGGTCTTGAAGAAGAAAAAGGCTCGGCAACAGGTCCATTCTTGTTGGGCAGGCTGCTCTGCTACTTGGGTCATATGATCCAGTAAATGCAGTGGTATTTCAAGTGTCAGTAGGGATGCTGTTAATAGTCTCTGGCAAACACTCATATTTCAACTGCAACGGAGACATTTAGGATTTTAGAGCAAGACTCTGCCATAATCTGCAGATAACTACTCTCCCTTTGAAAAATAGTTCTTGGCATGATACTGGGCCATAATGGAAAGTGAAGGCTTGATTATGGGAAACCTGGTTACCATGCAACCTGAGCTGCTTAGCATCAGCTGGGAATTGTCTGATCCACCAAGTCATAAGTTGTGTTTGCACAGTAACAGCCTATTATTAAATGGAAACATTATATATGATCGAGACAGAGGAGGTCCAGAGGGTAGAAGACACATGAAGAAATTCCTCAGATGCCCATGGACACTACACCTGCTATATCACCTTCTTCTCACAACATGCACTTATGTCCACATGAATTGTACCATAAATTCAGCTATTAGGAGAAAAAAACGCTAGTCACTGTTTATGGATGGTTCTGCATGTTATGTAAGCACCACCTGCAAGTGGATAGCTATAGCATCACAATCACATTCCAGGACATTCGTCTTTGACTCTAGTGAAGAGAAACTTTCACAGTGTGCAGAACTTTGAGCAGTGCACCTGGTAGTACATTTTGCCTGGGAGGAAAATGACTAGATATGCAACTATGTACTGATTCATCGGTTTTAGCCAATGGTCTAGTTGGGTGTTCAGAAATGTGGAGGAACTTAAGAGGAAAATTGGTAACAAAGATATTTGGGGATGAAAGATGTGGGTAGATCTATCTATGTAGGCAAGGGATGTCAGTCTATGTGAATCCCACATAAATGCTCACCAAAATGTGACCTAATAGAAGAGGACTTTAACAATCATTTGGATAAGTTTACCCATTCTGTAGATAGTACTCAACTTCTCTCTTCAGTTCCCCTTTCTTTGCCCCACAGGCTCATGAACAGAGTGTGCGTGTTGGCAGGAATGGAGGTTATGCATGCTTAGTGACATGGATTCCCACTCAGTGAGGCTGTTCCGGTTACACCCACTGCTGTAGGCCCAATATGCCAGCAGATTAAGCCAATGCATCTTCCCCAATATGACACCATTCCCTGGAGTGCTCAGCCTTGGACCTGGTGGCAGGCTGATTATAATGGATGGCATCCATCATGGAAGAGGCGTGCTTTGTCTTTACTGGAACAGATACTTTTTCTGGATATGGATTCAACTCTCCTTTATGTCATGCTTCTGACAAAACTCCCACCCATGGATTCACATAATGCTTTATCCATCATTGTGGAATTCTACACACCATTGGATCTGACCCCAGGGAATACATTTGATGCCCAAAGAAGTGACATGATTGTATCATGCTTACAGAACTCAGTGGTCTTACCATGTTCCTCACCATCCAGAAGGAGCTGGATTGATAGAAATTTCAAATGATCTTTTGATGACACAGTTCCAGCAACAAATAGGAAGCAATAGCTTGCAGGGCTGGAGCAAGGTTCTTCAAAAGGCTCTGTTTATCTCTGAATCAGAATCCACTCCATGGTTCAATCTCTCCCATAGCCAGGATTCATGGTTCTAGGAATGACGGGGTGGAAGTAAGAATGGTACCACTCACTGTTAGCCACAGTGATCTATTAGCAAAAATTTGCACCCTGTTCTCATGCCCTTATGTTATGCTGGCTTAGAAAGAAGTCTTAGTTCTGGGGAGGGGGCGGGGTTGTACCAGGAAGCACAGTGCTACCTATAAGCTGGAAGTGAAGACTTTCCCCTGGTCACCTTGTTCTCCTTATAACTTTGAAGAAACTAAAAATGGAGTTAGTGTTTAGAGAGGTGACTGACCCAGACTGTAAAGTGACAATTATACCATTACTGCACAAAGAAGGAAAGAAAAAAAATACACTTGGACTGCAGGAAATCCCTTAGGGTATCACCTAGTATTGCCATGGCAAGCTGTAACAATCCAATCAAGGTAGAATATAAAATGGTCCACAACCTTCAAGAATGAAGGTAGGGGTTGCCACAGCAGGGAAAGGACAAGCCCCTCCTTAGGTGCTTACTGAAAGCCAAGGAATACAGAATGGGTCACACAAGTAGTTATAAATAAAAGCTGTGGCCCCATGATCAGCTACAAAAATGAGGACTGTAGTAGTTCTTTCCTAATATCTTTCCAATGTAACATGTTGATACACTTAATATTGGTTAAGTATTAAGAAACCCGTTATAGAGTTCCAGGACTGAAACTTTAGGATTAAGCATCACCCAAACAAAACTTCTATTCTCAGTAGAGGAATTAGTGCATTCCCATTTACATGTAGGAGTTATAAAATGTTAGGTGTATTTATGAACTCATCTTTGTACCTGGAGACTATGGTTTAAAGAAGTGTGTAGTAGTAAAGTTGTCAGAGGGATAGTGACAGTTAACTGATGGTGTCAAGCTGAGTACTACATGCCCAAATAAATTTGCAGAGCAAACTGTGGATGTAGAAGGCCTACCTAGAAAGGACTGTTGCCAGAATGTTAAAAAAAAGAACCAAAAAAGGAAGACTTACATTTGTTTCTGTGGAGCTCGTTTTCATTCTCACATAGAAAGCCATTTCCGGGCTTCCAGCAGATTCTTCAGCCTCTAGCTCAGACCAGTCTTCTGTCACACACTTTTTTTTCTGCTGACAGACTTGCATGGGACACTACAGTAGGCTCTAGGACTTGAACTGGTTTTTTTGGATATCCAGTGTACAGAGAGACCTTCTGCACGCTTCCACATCTGAGCAGCAACTGTAAGCCAATCTTGTAAATTCTTACATATTTGTGTATCTCACATTAAAACCATTCCTCTAGAACACACGGACTGATACAATATTATAGTTCATGATATCCTTTATTAGACAAGGCATGGTCCATCTGATGTATCACAATCAGAAACTCACAGCAGTATGGTTTAACTTTTGGTATAAATTGTGGGAAAGTTACCAACAAATTGAAAGTCATAACAATATAAGCATGAAAAGTAAAATGACAGGAAAGCAAAATTTTATGTAAATCATAGTACTGATTTCAACATAAAAGCAAAATAGGTGAAATTATGTGCATTGTATAATTATGTTGGGATATATGCAGGTACTAGTTAGGATATAAAAAGAATTTGCTAATCAAGCTGTGTGTAAACAAATGAACTTTCACAAAAATGCATGTTCACATCAAATTCAAAATTATCTTTTTGTATACATCATATGAAATACATACACAAAGAAAATTACAATGAAAGCTACTGGGTTATCCCATTAAAAAACTAGTAATAATTTTTTTTTAGCAATCTATATCTCCCTATAATAAAAACAGAATAAAAACTACATAAGCACTAACCCTACTTAGAAGTGAGAAATACATTTTAATTCATCTTATTTTATTAGAAGATACTATATATTAAGTTCAAAGACAATGGCTTAAATAAAAATATATTATGTCAATATTTTTTCTAGTAAAGACTACAGATACATAGTTCAATCATTTACAAGTGATTTACTAAAAACACAGAAAGAATACATTTTAGATCTTCTGGGAGTGTATTTTCTGGAACACACACGAAGAAATCTTGACATCAAACCTTTCTTTTATATGTGTACAGGTCTCCATACATGAGGAATTTTCATAAACTTTAAAAAATAGGCTTACATATATAAGGTCACTCTCCAGTGTGACTTCTTTCATGGGATAAAAACTATGTTCACTGAATGCTTCCTTCATTGTTTAAATACATAGGGTTCCTCCTCATTGTGGGATCTATGTCTATAAAATGTGGACCTAATAATAAAAATCTTTTTCCACATGGCTCACATGCCACGTGGAAAGGGGTTTTCCCCTTTGTGAGTTCTTTCACATATGTTGTAAGAATTCTTTGTAGTAAATGACTTCCCACATTGCTTGCCCACATAAGGTTTCTCTCCTGTGTGACTTGTTTCGTGTCTTTGACAAGACTGGTGTGTAGTGAATGCCTTCCCACACTGCTTGCACATATAAAGTTTCTCCCCTGTGTGAATTTTTTCATGTATGTCAGAGTAAGTCTTGGTAGTAAATGCTTTTCCACATTGTTTGCACACATAAGGTTTCTCCCCAGAGTGAGTTCTTTCATGTCTTTGACATGATTGATGTATAGTGAATGCCTTCCCACATTGCTTGCACACATAGGGTTTTTCCCCTGCATGAAAGTTTTCATGTAGTTTATAATAATGCTTTGTAGTGAATGCCTTCCCACACTGCTTGCACACATAAGGTTTCTCCCCAGTGTGAGTTCTTTCATGTCTTTTATAATTACTTCTTATACTGAATGCTTTTCCACATTGCTTGCACACATAAGGTTTTTCCCCAGTGTGAGTTCTTTCATGTATTTGACAATATTGATGTGTAATGAATGCCTTCCCACATTGTTTGCACACATAAGGTTTCTCCCCTGTGTGAATTTTTTCATGTATATTACAATAATTCTTTGTAGTAAATGCTTTTCCACATTGCTTGCACACATAAGGTTTCTCCCCAGTGTGATTTCTTTCATGTATTTGATAATAACAAAGTCTAGCAAAGGCTTTCCCACAGTGTTTACACACGTAAGGCTTCTCCCCACTGTGAGTAGTTTCATGACTTTGATATTGAGTGTATCTGCTGAATGATTTCCCACATTGCTTACATACATAGGGTGTCTGACCAGTGTGGATTCGTCTATGTCTATGAAATGCAAACATACATGCAAATCTCTTTCCACATTGCTTACATACATAGAGTTTCTCCTCCATGTGAATCCTTTCATGAGTTTTACCACTTTGAGTATTGAAGATTTTTCCATATTGCTTGCATACATATGAGTTCTTGCCAGCGTGAAATCGTTGATGGACTTGCAAATCCCTGTGGGTATCGGAGGCTTTCACACTTTTCTGAACAACAATGGTCTTCACTCCAGGGTGAGTTCCTTCAGAGAAGGATATCACACATTGGTCATATTGACAGGGTTTCTCTCCAGTCTTTGTCATTGCATGCTTCTGAAAGGACTGCAGATCACTGCATGTTTTTCCATGTTCATTACAGTTACTTAGCTTTTCATCAAATCCCAAATACTCATGTGGCTTCTCTCCAGGGTGAGGTAAGGTGGCCAAATTTAATGATAAATGCCCAATCAGGGGCTCTCTACAATCAAGACTTCCGGCTGGCTTTAAAGCAGCTTCTTCCATGTCCACATTAGCATGTTCAGTCCAAAGGAATATGTTTTCTTGTAGATTGCAAGTTTTATATTGATAGCATTTTTCTACTTCCTCATTTCTGTAAGGAAACAAAATATCAATCACAATAAAAATGTCTCTATATCAGTAATTTACCGGGACAAGTTTTGGCTGGATGCCTGCTAAGAAATTTTCAGAAGGAATAGGCTTAATGCCCTGGAGAATGCTTCTAAAACATTTGTTTCCCAAAGGATTGTATTCCTTCAGGAATTTTAGACTGGTATATGTTTGCAATACATAAGGCCAAATTTCACTTAAGTCACTGGTACATATATGCCTCACATTTTGATAATTTTGACACCTTTCTCTCCTAACTCTCCCCCTCTCCCTCTTAATTTTACTAATTTATACATTAATACCTTATTTAAAAGAAAACACTTGATAATTCACTTTCTGTGTCTGACTTATTTAACATTATGAGGTGAAGTTCCATCATTTTTTTTACAAGAAGATATGATATTCCTTTTTGGCTGGACACATATAGCACATTTTTTTCAGTGCTTAGAATTAAACAAGGGTGTGAGCAATAAGATGTATTTCTAGTTTTTTTTTTTTTCCCTAATTTTGAGAGATTTTCATTGCTTCTTCATTTAGTCAGGGTGAACTTCATGTTGTCATCTTGCTGGCTCAGCTTACTGGAGTGCTGTGCTTATAAGAAGGCACCACCATGTGGAGCCTATCCCACATTCTCCTTTCCCATGCATACACTGATTGACATCTAGGTTGTTACCAGAGCTGAAATAATGTGAATTATTTCCAGAACCTAGCTACTGTGAATACCTATGAATACACTGCTTTGAGCATAAATACATATGTATCGCTAAGATATAATACTTGTAAATCCTTTAAGAATATACAGAGGGAGTTTTGCCTGAATCAAATGCAAACTTTCATTTTTACTTTTAGAGACAGCTGTATATTGAATAAAAAAAAGGTTCTGTTTTATATTCCTAACAGTAATGTATCGGGATGCATTAAAAAAATTTTAAAACATGAAGCCACACAATTCTCTGGAGGATGTTTTCAAACATCTATTAATACCCTAACACTCATGTGCAGTTTGAATGTTGCTTCTAAGTGAGCAATTTTTAGATAATGTATATCTCATATTCATATATATACATAAACAGATAACTTCAAGATGAGTTCCTGCAAAAGTTCAAGATTTATTCTTTTCATATATGCCTATATACAATACCTAAATGCAACCTCATACAGTTTCATGATATTGATCATGGAAGAATTTCTTGTACCAGTGTAAGAAACAGCGTCTTTTGTTGCATAATGTCACTACTTAGTTGCCTATACTGGAATATTTCTGAATTCAATTGTCATATTACACAAAATCAACCTGTATGCATATTGGGACAATTTGGGGGGATAAAATCAATTTGAACATGGCCTGATTTGTAAAGTTTCCTTGTAATATTTCTGCTCACACACCAAGTCTTGACAAATATTACTTTTCCTTATGACTGCAAATTACCTTAGATTTCTTGAGCGATTTTTGTATTTTTCTTCCATTTGCTGGTTGTCCCAAGTCCTTCCTGAATTGTAGCCACAGAAATACAAAAAGTCACCATATCATTATAGTAAAAATTAGCAGTAAGCAGTTACATTCATGGGATAATGTAAACAGGAGCCCTGAGATATCACATAAATGTTTTCACATTCTACTTAATGAATCTGTACCCATTAGCAAGATCCAATGTTCTCTCATTGTGTATATGAGAAAACGATGTCATCCTTACCTATAGCATTTATATTCCTAAATGTTTCCCACATCACATCTCTGTAGAGCTTCTTTTGGGATGGATTCAGCAGAGCCCACTCATCCTTGGTGAAGGTCACCATTACATCCTCCATGGTCACTTCCTCCTAAATAATCACATAAATACTTCCTGAAGTAAAGTTAACACTCATACTCTGCAAACTTGAACTCCTCTTGTAAAAGCTGAATTGAGGTTGTTCCTTCAGATATAAACTCCATGACTTTGTCATCACCCCATTTTTTACACACATAGTTTCACATGCAATTCTGATGCTAGATTGCTTCTCTCTGATACATCAACAGCAGATCTGGAGCTGTGGTTTCCCAGTAGGGTCATAAAAATAATATTAGTGCACTGTTTCTAAAGCAAAGCTCATACAGGCAACCTGCAAATCCCCATTCCCCAAAAAAGGAGGCAGAATAATACCTAATGAATGGTTTTGACAGACCATAATTATACCACTTTCTAAATGTGATTGTTCATAGAATTAAGTCATTGTTTCTCCAATTGCTCATAGGCAGCATTTCAAAATCTGAATCTGGTTTTTTAGGAAAAAATGCCAATAAACATTAAATAAAGTATATGCATTGTTCCTTATTTACATTTTTGGTTTTTCACTCAAGAAAAATCATGTGATATTTACACATGTGCATCCAATGCATTTTACTTGAGAGTGTGATCTCAAGATCCACCTATTTAGCTAGAAATGTTTCAAGCTTATCCTTCTTTATGGCAGAGTAATACTCCACTGTATTAAAAAAAATCACATCTTTATTCATTCATTAGTCAATGGTATTAGGGCCATTTTCAAGAATTAACTATTAAAAAGTGTGCCACTACAAACATGGGTATGTGTATATGACTGTGGTATAATGCTTTTCATTCTTTTGGGGAGAGACCAAAAAAGGGAATAGATGGGTCAAATATGTATTCTCTAGCTTCTGTTTTTTGAAGAATCTGAGAAGAAAATGTTCAAATGAGTAGGTGAACAGTAAAGGGGTTAGGGGAAGAAAAGAAGAGACAAAAAGGAATAGAAAGACAAAAAGGAAACAGCTTTGTAAATATAGAGGAAAATCGGGTTCAAATGGAGGGGAGGAGAATGAAAAAAATGAAGAAGCACAATACATTACGTGGAGATACAATTTCCCAAGATAAATTTTATCACTATGTATATGTAAAATGTAGTGATACAAAGGAAAATAAAGGTTTATCAATAATATGAAAATGCTAATGGAAAAACAGTACTCTTGGAGCAAGTCTACTGACAATGACATAGGGGTCTGGTGGAATATTATCCCATAGCTCAATGACACCAAGTGATCATCCTGTACTCAGATGTAAGAACTTCTAGGATTATCTAAGTGAGATTAATGAAGGGAAGGATACATATAAAATATATTAAACACATTAGAAAGGAAGTCACAAAGTCATTAGGCACTAAATACAAAAGGAAAACTTCAGCCAGGTATGGTGGTACCTGCCTGTAACCCCAGCACTTGAAAGGCTGATGTAGGGGATTTCCATGAATTGAATGATTGCCAGGAGTTCAAAGTCCAGCCCCAGTTATGAGGTAACCTTAAGACCAGTCCAGATGTCAAAGTGAAAACCCACATTAGATTACCCCCAAAAAGGAAAACTTAAAATAGTGTGTCACTTACAAGTCACTTCTTTGCTCTGTTCAAGAAACTACAACTGTGCAGTATAAGAAAAGACTGACAACATTCAACATTTCGAGAGCAAGGTGGTAGCTTGCATACTTTACACAAAATACGTTCATGTTATAGTTTTGTTATAATCAGTGATTAGCAGAGAGAATGACAAACAGGTCTCAGGAAAGAAAGGCAGCCTTCTATGGTTCAGCATGTAAATAGAATAGTGATTCATGACACAGCTTGAGTTAAATATATCTGAAAATAATCACAATATGTTTATTTATGTTCAGGGAGAAACAGGTATGCATTTGTACATCTAGATTGTATACTCTTCTATTTGATATACATAAGTTAAATATTAAACAGGGAAAGATAAGACTGAATGCCTTAGGATTTTATAGTGAAATAACTACTACATACAATAAAAGATTTTCCTCAGAGGCAAAATTAGCCATTTGAATTTGAAGGAGAAATTGAAGCTATGAAAATCATGGGACCTAAATAAAATGAGATTAAAATATTTGCTGTGTACATAATACAAAGATTTTGTATAGAGTATAAATATCAACAAACATATAAAACATATCTGACTCAAGAGAAACACTGAATATGAAAAGACCAAATCTGAAGAAAATCAAAGAAAACTGAGGTATGGAAGAACACGAAAGACTTATGCAAGGAGGGAGAACCAACTCATGCACTCCACATTCATCTCCTTTCCTTTCGAGTTTGCCAATAATCAACAAGGCAGTGACTTCTTCCAATGCCCAGGGGTTTATTGTGCTATTATACTTGTAGACAGATGTGATTATTATTCAGTACACTTGAAAAATCTTTAACCTAAAAAAGAAAATCTTTAACCTAATGACCAATAGAAGTGATGAGAAAGTACTTTTCCTTTGATTCAAACATCCGCCTCTGTGAATAGTGAGACAAAAAAAGTCCCACATTTCCCTGTACAACTTCTACAATACTTCCTGAAAATTACATGGTAAGAAACTAAAACAACGCTATTCATGGAAAATCATACATGGTAAACTGAGGAAAACTTGCCAAAGAGTGAGAGTGGTCAAAAATAAGGCAAGGAAAGTTTGAGTCAGGTAGGGAGTTTATCACATGTATGCTCTCATCCAGTGCCCAATGATGAAACGTTTTGAATACACCAAGGATATTTATATTATTATCATTAAATCTCACCAAATTTTTTTGAGAATAAACTTGACATAAAACACTTAAATAGCAAATTACTAACAATGTTCATATTCATTTATCTCTGCCTTTATATGTGAACATTTTTACAAATGTTGCATTTTTCTATCATCTGCACAAATACTTTTTCTTATTCTAATGAAGATACTAGTTCATTATCACTTGCAGAAAAAAATCAATAGTAACATTTTAAAACACATAATAAATAACAAACCAATTTAAAATAACACAACCCCACAGACAGTGGACTAGGGGAATAAAGTGTCTGAAATACGAACTTCTTTAGCTCAGCGGCAAAGTGCCTGCCTGGCAAGCGCAAGGTCGTGAGTTCGGTTCCCGGTACTGGAGAAAAACCAAAAAAAAAAAAAGAATGAAATACGAACTTCCCTACAATGCTATGTTTACTAGGCTGTCCAAGACAAACCTTGAATAATCTTTTCATCATATTAATAATGATATATTATCTCAATTAATTCATCCAATTCCAAATGTTGAAACCAAATAACATTTTGTTTGATTTTTAAGGGCCAAAGAGCTTGCTAAACTCCATCCAAACTTTGTGGGTAGTTATATGAAATCAGTGAAACACAGTTGATTTCCTCACCTCCATCATGTCTCTATGTACTTTTACATGTATTCATGATAAATGCAAAACAAACAATTGCATCTAAATATTTGTTTCTTCACATGTAATCAATACTACATTCACTTTTAAACTGAGAAAACCACCATCTTATGGTGAAATCTTGAAAAGCAATTCTTTTCTTTTTTAAAGAGTAAAAGAAGAATAACATAGTAATAGGGGGGCTTACCGAATTGCAGACAAAGTGGTTGTTGTTTTACATATTGTTATCTACAAGATGGTTTCTCAGGAAAAGAAGTAGACAAATAATAGTGAGCTACAGACAAAAGTGGTAGGTTACTATCAATAGTTGTACTATACTTTGGTATCTTCAAAGTGGTTTCTAAAGAAAATAAATAGAGCTATACATGAGTGACCAACTGAATATTCATTGACTATTCTCAATGGTTGTAGGAAACACACAGTAATAAACATACATCCATTTAC